AGTTTCTGCAGGATTCGGGAGAAGAAACTGGTGACTGTGACTGGGGCTGTGGAGAGGACGCCGTCTGCATCTGGCGTTGATTCCTCTTGTAGGTGGAGACGGCGTGGACTTGAGATGGCGATGAGTGTATAGCTGAGGCAGCCTCTCTTGTGGCCTCATACGACCTGCAACAGGTGACGAAGTCGGTGAGGGAAGAGGCGGCGTCGAGGGTGAGGAGTTTCTGAAGCAGGTCCTCGTCACGTACACCCATCAGCAAGATCATCTTGAGCTGGATCTCAGCACAGGTTACAGGATCGCCTGTACATAGGTCCACCTCGGTTGCTAGGTCCTTAAGTCGTGCATAGAAGTCTGAGAATGATTCCCCAGAAGCTTGTTTGCAGGATAGCAGTTCCCTACGACGCAAAGCTTCATTGCGGAGGCCACGGAAATGACTCTGCAAGGCGTTTAAAACCTCTGTCACTGACCTGGGGGAGTCAGGGGGGATGGCTAGCGTGTGCTCTAGGAGGCGTTGAACATCGAGGGAAATGCACGATCTTAATTGGATGAGTTGTTTATGAGGGGGCATTCGGTAGAGGTCAGACATGACAGCAAAGTCTTCGAAACGACGTCGCCATTGACGGTATACTTGATATGTTGCATCAGGTTGAAGAGGTGGGGGACTGGGAACTGAAGACTTGCTGTGCAGGGGTGTACTCGAGACGGCAGGCGGTGGAGGAGGCACGGAGAGGTCGACGAGAGTTGAGACTGGAACGGGTGGTTGAGAAGACACTGAGGCATACCTAGGGGAGATAGGTGACGTGTGAGGAGGCGTTGTCTGAAGGATAGATGAAGAGGCTGAAGCTGGCGAGTTGGTTGTGGCAGCTGGTGAAGTCGTCCTCGTTGCCAGCAATTCCAATAGGTCCAGGAATTTGCGGTTATCAGCTTGGTGTTGTTGTTGAAGTTGAAGGCGGTAAGCTGATTCCTCTGACTGTCTTGACAATTCCTCTTGACGTCGTTTTTCCTCCTCTAATTGACGTCTTTGGGCTTCCTTCTCTTGAGAAACTTGTAGGAAGTGGATTAACTGGACGTATATCCTGGCTCCCATCCTTTGAATTTGGCGCGCCCGGCGTGTGAGGCGTGAGGGGGGGTGGGAGGGTCTGTGAGGCGTCGTCTTCCTCATAATCCTCATATAAATTTCCCAGCAAATCGTCGTGGTCAGACATCTCGTGCTTGGTATTGTTGCGATGGGAAAGACAAGGAGAATAAGGTGAAGTGCTATATTTTCGCCAATGGATTTGCTTAAGTGCAGGAACTGGCTGGCAAGTAAAAGAGTACTGACTGTAATATTTGTGAAGTGAGAGGAGGCGGCTAGCGGCGGTGTATTCCTCCGCGCGCCCGGGCGAGATGCTGGTGATGTCAGTGGAGGGGACGCGGGCAGTGGCTTGCGAGCCTCCGTGGATGGGGGGTGTATGCCGGAAGTGCTGTCTTGGAAACTGGGCTGAAGGCGTGTCTGCTACCTGTAGGGCCGCAGAAACATAGCAAAGAGACATGAAAGGCACTGCACTTCACTTAGGGCACTTCACAAGGTCACAAAGCACTTTAAATCCAGGGGCACTGTGGAGTATATCTTCTGGGCGGGAAACAGACGAGGCCGGAAACAGACGGGGCCGGCTCTTGAGGCTTGTAAACTGTCGTGTTGGAGCTACTCAAACTGCGCCATGTGGTGTGGTGGATGTAATCCTAGACAAGGTTCTTGAAACTCCAGGGCACGAGCAGTAGGTATATTCAATAAGTGGTACAAGGCTGGGCGTGATAGCCAACCGATACAGGAGCGATTACTAGGGACCCCGGACCGTAGGTAGGCCGAGGCCGATCTGAGGGAAATTAGCTAGCCAGGCAAGGGGAGTTGCTAGACATTCCTAGGACACTAAATGAGGTCTCCTAATTACTCGACTAGCGCGGTACAGACATAGTACATCGGGACATAGTAAATGAACATAGGCATTAGACATAAGCATGGACATCAGACATGCTATAATAATATGTAGTAATACAGACATGCGAATAAATGGTACAACGAATGGTAACAAGAGTCCTGGTGTCAGGCGCGTTCACACATCTTGGTATGTACATATCTATACAACATCCTTAATAACTCATATCATTGTATCATAGTTGGATGATCGTCATACTCATTTCCGAGTGACAGCATAGTAGTAGTGTGTGTGTGTGTGTGTGTGTAATAATAATAATAATAATAATAATAATAATAATAAACGGTTTATTAATAGAGTTGCAGCCGGTGGCTGAAAATATACAGACTTACATTTGATTTGGACATAATGATATAATATGCATTGAATACATTTACAGGGCTGTACAGTACATAAATCAGGAGTTGTTTATTATTTTAACAATAGATGGGATGGTGCTGTTCTTATATCTATCGGTGTGTGTGTGTGTGTGTGTGTGTGTGTGTGTGTGTGTGTGTGTGTGTGTGTGTGTGTGTGTGTGTGTGTGTGTGTGTGTGTGTGTGTGCAGTGTTACAAATAACTGCTTCTATTTTCGTCTTAATCTTGTCTTCAGTAAAAGTTCCTATCTTAACAAGAGCCTGTGAATCACTGTTCAGATCAAGACCTAACATAAACTTGCAACAAAGTCCAGAATTACATAGCCTTTAAACCTTCAGTAAGGATCACCGAGTATTGATGTGTCTTAGATAGTCATATGACAAACGTTTGTGGTGTAGGTGAGAGTTTTAAGATGTTTGTGTAAAGGTTAGAGAGAAAAAATCTAGCGACCATTGGTATAAGCTGGGCGCTGATACTTAAATATTCGTGTTTTTTTTCTCTTAGCTGTAGATGGGAGAACACAGATCGTCTTAGTATAGTCTCTGCGCAATATCGTCGTCATTTTGGCCGCCATCGTTTGTGCCGTAGCTACAGAGAGTAAGTTAGATACGTTCTTACATCACCTGTCACGGGAAAAAATTTAAGGTACGGGCCTTTGAGAATTGAGTCGGTGTATTTTAATATAGTTTGGTGAAGCAAGGTTTTCTGGCACCGACAGTGTCGCGAGGTCAAGTATTGGGGTCAAAGTGGGTCATTCACGCCCTCATAAACCCCCAGACACGGGCCAGAGACCAATTTAACTCACACGTCAGAGAGAAAAAAGAAAATCCTTGAAGCTTCTCTTCAGTGGATTGCTTTTCATTTTGGAAAGAAATTGGAAAAGTTAACTTCGGGGATTTCCTCGAGTCTGAGTTGGAATTCTTAATCTAGTGCCACTTGGATTACACAGGTTTTTCCTCTAGGTTTTCTCATTTTTCCCTCGTAAGAACTTTGGGTATTCTTGTAGGTCACTGACGGCTGACGGCTGACGCTCGTGTGTTATTTACGTCACTCGATACTATACGTGTCAGCGATGATTCACTCGGCCTTGTAACACCAGCCGTCACCACTTGTTCTCCACCACACGTTCCCCATCACATGTTCTCCATCACATGTTCTCCATCACATGTTCCCCATCACATGTTCTCCATCACATGTTCCCCATCACATGTTCTCCATCACATGTTCCCCATCACATGTTCTCCATCACATGTTCTCCATCACATGTTCTCCATCACATGTTCTCCATCACATGTTCTCCTGGCACATTTTCTCCAGCACTGAACACCAACTAACCACTAATCTGGCAACACTGAACACACCAGTGAACTTTAGAACCTGATATAATAATTCACTGTCCAAAGTTGCTCTAGATTTTGGCAACGCTTTTATGTGCCTCGGAGCCCCTCATGTATGTATGTATAACTGTATCTCATGTATGTATGTATACTCTACCTCAAGTATGTATGTATGTATATCTTCATTAATCTTAAAAAAAATTGTATTTACTTATTTAACAGTACTTCCACAGGTCCAACTTTCTTTAAAAAAAAAATTTACGTCTCCCATAATTAATTAACTACCAGTGTGATTTTATTTAACACTGAGGCAAAGATCATAACAAAGTAATACGGAATAGATCAATAGACACACAGACAGAAAGAGACAGGGATAGACGATGGGAGACAGACAGACAGACAGACAGGGAGAGATAGACACTTGACCGGAGAGACAGACATAGACAGATAAGGGGAGACAGACACAGAGACAAACAGAGAAAGAGAGACACAGAGATAGACAGGAGGAGATAGATAATGACACAGGGGATGACACACATAGACAGGGGAAGACAGACACAGACACAGGAGACAGACAAAGAGACAGTCTAATGCTAAATAAAAAATAAAAAAATACATATTATTGGAGTGATTCCTAAAGCTTTATAATATTCTAACGTGTTTCTATTTTCCATTTATTTTTTTTTATGTGAAGTATTATTATAATTATCACTGTTAGCATTTATCATTTCGTGTTTAGAAGCAAGAGGTCAATCGTAAATATACACACTCCATCAGGTAATGTGTGTGTCTGTGTGTCTGTGTCTGTGTAGGTCTGAAATGTTTTTGTTTTCGATTTTTATTCTCTTACTTGAAGTTGACCTGAACACACACAAGCCCCTGCATCACCTCACCCTCCCTCCTCTGGTCTTTCTTCCCCCCTTCACCCTCCCTCACCCTCCTTCACCCTCCCTCACCCTCCTTCACCCTCCCTCACCCCTCCATGGCATACACGCGCGGTCAGAATCACACCATCCACTTGCATAACTAGAGTGTTCAGAGTCCTGCTGTCATGACAATTATCTTACTCCCCTTACCCTTCCCCTCAACCTCCCCCCTGTCACTAGCCTTTATTCATTCTTTCATCACTCAACCTCGAAACGAAACAGAATTTATAAATATGAAAAGTTGTTTGGCATTTCCTAATATAAGGTTTGTCAATAATCAGGCATTAAAACTGTTGTGTAATACATCATTTCATCACTTTATCACCGTTATGAAATGTCTCTTATATTCATGATTTTATTTCAGCTTTTATTCACAGGAACAAGTGTAGTGAAGATGAAGTGTTAACATGACTACAGGAGAACCTCAAGATGATGGTAAGTACAGCCTCTTTTCTCATTTATCTCTTTTTTCCGTGTAGAGACATAGAGAGATATTGATAAGTATCCCTATTTAGGGTAACATACAGTATATATTAAGTGGAGTTCCATTTTTCGTATTAGTTAAGTCATTTATTTGTTGACATTTAGCTTAGAATAAGTAAATATTATCAAAAGAACATTGAAAAACTCACAAGAGACTTTGTAACATATAATTAAGTCGAGATGATAATACAAATACCATGTGCTGGTCAGGCTCCGGAAGAGTTGTCCGGGGGTCTAGCGAGGCCCTGGTCGGAGCTTGACCAGCACGAAAAAAAAAAAATTGTTTACTATACGTGATTTTGGCAACCTGTGGTGTAATGGTCAGCGTGCTCGCCTCGCAAACGCATATACCCGAGTTCGATTCCTGGGCAGTGTAAAACTATGGACAATCTTTCCTTTTCTTTTTTCTTTTTTTTAATGCCATTTGCCTCTGTCTATCCAGCAGTAATTGGGAGCCTGAATGTTAATCGAGTTGCAGATCGAGTTCTGGGGTGATGGTTAACCAGTGCAGCTGACGAGTTGTCCGGTCTTCTCGGACTATTCCTTGACACTGAGTCGTGCAACTCGTTGACTTAGGGTGTGGTTGTTGTGTTGGCGACAGCTTCTACACCTTAAACAAATTCACGCCTAGGTGGCCCTAGGGCCAGCCATCCTCGTACACGAGGGTCAACCATTATTTTTACGTCATTAAATATGTTATAAGTATATAGTGCAGTAAGTGTATAATGTAAAAGACAAAGAACATCGAAATATATATATTTAGCTTCAGGGTTTATTAAGTTATTTATTTCTTGCACTTATTACTGGTATTTGTTTTCCTCTCATCTGTATAGTTTAAGTCTTTACTGTTGTTTTGAGTAACTTTAGAATTAATTGTTTTTCTCCGAAACTTATGTTGACATTTACATTTTTTAGAATATTTCATAATATCATATCACCCAGGATGATTATCCAATATTTTATACGAAAAAATATTTAATAACACTTCTATTAAACAATTTATTAATATCTAATATGATGAATTACATGATCGCGGATGGCCAGGTAGAAGCTTCAAATAATACATAGACGTTATCAATATTAGGCAGTTATCCCTATTTAGTTTAATGGCCAGGATTATATAGTCTATGATTAAGCTTTTACAAATCATCAGTCGTTTTAGTCAAACAGAGAAAACTTTTTGGTTTCATTATTAAAACTTAATTAAGATTATTTCAATTCGTATATGACAAAATTTAGTCTCAGTTAAAGCATCATTTACTGTCATATGATGGCTAAATTATCCTTTAATTAGGTTAGGTTAGGTTAGGTTAGGTTAGGTTAGGTTAGGTTACATTTTGTATAAAGTTATTCATTTACATGTACTGTATATTTATGATATGCAGGATTGTTTATGGCCAGTCAAAAGTTTCCCAAAAAAGAGAAATACATAAAAGTTATCACTAATCGCCAATATAATGTTAGAAAAAAGAAAAAAAAATGATGAGAATTGAGAGATGAATGATAACAAACGGATAGACAGACAGACAGACAAACAGACAGACAGAGATATGGGGGAAATGAAGTTAATAATCGTATAGTATTTGCTAATTTGTAAGTCTCATGCACGTGGCACAGACAGGGGGAGACGGACACAGACACCAAACAGGAAGAGACAGACAAGAGGAGGGGAGGGCAGGCACAAAGACAGGCAGGAGACAGATACAGAGACAGGAACATATAAACATAGCCAGCTGAGAAGAGACAGACAGGACACAGACAGGAGGAAACAGAAAACTAAATATACACATTCTCGTATCTGTACGATAATCCCGTGGACGTGGTATGATTCTGTGTACAGTAATTCTGGAGTTGCGTTACAAGCCTTCACTACAGGGACACAGACACACAGACGGACAAAGGGAGGAATATTATGCATTTCCAGGGGCTTTCTCCAATCCTGATCCTCATGAGCGTGGTGTTGCAGCATTAGGTCTTCGTCAGGAGAGACAGGAGGACCGTCCAGGGTGTCATTCAGAGGGGGAGAGTTTGTAAAGCTCTTAATGGATTATATTCCCGTTATGAAACTAATTAAGTAAATAGAAGTGTTGTTAAGCAATCTAAAATAATTTCAGGATAAATCGCGCTCTTTGTAAAAAATAGTTAAGCGGTTTATTTATTTGTTTTTGTCAAACAGTTTAACAAGATCAATAGATTTATTCACAAAAAAATAAATATGTTCAGTGGAATAATATAATGTTTAATAATTCATTCTAATAATGTTATGAACGTGATTTATAATCCCTATGTTAATTTTAGCTCATAAATATTATATGTTGATGTAATCGAGATGGTGGTGAAACTAACTGGGCGCCACTGAGAGGATCAAGCGAAAAAAATTTATGAAAAGATTTAATAATTTCAGAGGAAAGATCCAACAGGAACGGAAAAAAAAATAAAGGTAAAACTATCTGGCGTTAAACCTCCTTGAAGAGCTAAACCAAAAGGGGATATTATATATATATATAAAACCAATTCTATAATTTAAACTTAAAAACGGGTTGGCTGCCTGAGGTTCTCCACTTAATTAGTCAAAAAACTGACCGTTGACGGAGACTTCTACCATATTGACTATAAGAAATTCCCAAAGAAAATCAGGTTCGTGTTTCCATCTCCAGGCAAAAAAAAAAACTCACAAAAAAAACTTCACCATTTTTGTGCCTCTCAAGATACCCGGGAGACGAGTATTTTTGGGGTTATGATTATGAGAGTAAGAGTGGAGTAGCGAGTAGTTGCGAGTTTCTTGCTGGAGTTGGGAGTAAAAATAAAGCAAGAGGCTTATTTGGTACACACTAGCTAATTCCTTCCACCTCAAAACACACACACACACATACACACACACACACACACACACACATACATTTTTATAGAAGATACCGCCTCTGGGATTTATTGTGTGTGTGTGTGTGTATGTGTGTGTACCCAACTGGCCTCACAGTAATCCGGGGTACACACACACACACACACACACACACACACACACACACACACACACACACGCTCGCGGCATCCTGTTGTTATGTTCGTTACCGCCCATTGACAACCTCCCACCATTGTCAAGGCTTCGTTAGCTCTACCAACACACAAATTAACCACTTCTGATCTAGCTAAGAGCAAAGGACGTCGCGGGTCTAGTCTGTGTTGTCGGGAAACGTGTACTTGTGTTACCTGTGTTGTCGGGAAACGTGTCCTTGTGTTACCTGTGTTGTCGGGAAACGTGTACTTGTGTTACCTGTGTTGTCGGGAAACGTGTACTTGTGTTACCTGTGTTGTCGGGAAACGATGTACTTGTGTTACCTGTGTGTTGTCGGGAAACTTACTTGTGTTACCTGTGTTGTCGGGAAACGTGTACTTGTGTTACCCGTGTTGTTGGGAAACGTGTACTTGTGTTACCCGTGTTGTTGGGAAACGTGTACTTGTGTTACCTGTGTTGTCGGGAAACGTGTACTTGTGTTACCTGTGTTGTCGGGAAACGTGTACTTGTGTTACCTGTGTTGTCGGGAAACGTGTACTTGTGTTACCTGTGTTGTCGGGAAACGTGTACTTGTGTTACCCGTGTTGTCGGGAAACGTGTACTTGTGTTACCCGTGTTGTCGGGAAACGTGTACTTGTGTTACCTGTGTTGTCGGGAAACGTGTACTTGTGTTACCTGTGTTGTCGGGAAACGTGTACTTGTGTTCCCCGTGTTGTTGGGAAACGTATACTTGTACACACACACACACAGACACACACAAATGAGACAATGACAAAAAAAAACACCTCTAACCCAACAGCAGTAAGAACCTAATTGCTATAAATAGTGTGTGTGTGTGTGTGTGTGTGTGTGTGACTTTTCTCTCGTTAAAAGTGTAAAGTGTAGCTGTGGCAATTTTATCTCGTTGACGTTTAAATCCTGGTACAATATTCCGCTCATTTGACAGTGAACCTCTTAAATATCACATAATGTTAAAAGTCGAGCGATAGTGGCGAGAGGTATGAGGCCGTGTTTCGTGGAACCAGCTGGCGGCGGGTCTTACCTGCCTCATGTTTCCGGGTTGTTAGTTTACGTAAAAAAAAAGGTAATTATTGATTATTGCTGAATTATCTTCCCCGGTATATAAGATGCCCGGAGGTCGTGATTCTTGTGAAATACGACCACCCTCAGTAGCTCGACCCCGTTAAAGAGTCTAATTAGGTTTCAGGTAGTAAAGACGCACCTAGGCTGTGTTGTGGCGAGTGTTTGTGATACTACCTGGAGAGGGAAGGTAAGAGATGATATCATATGCAAATGGTACTGAGAATTACTAGTATGTGTAAAATTAAATGATAAACGACAAAAAGAGAGAGAGATTGAGGTGGAAGGAAAGAGAGGCATGAAAGTGTTAAACAACGTCTCAAACAATCCAACGTCTCAGATGACATGAACGCGGCGTGTCGGGGATGGCGGTGACTCTTGCTGCCGAGTAATAAAGCTGTGAGGCTCCGTTTTACGTTTATTATGAGGTCGCCTCCACCATTTCAGCAGTTACCATTTTTACCTCTGTAGCAGCGAACGTGTGCACTAGAGCTGTGTTATATTATTCAGGTGTCACTCGGGAGAGGAGAGAGGGTGGACGTCACAGGTAGAAGTCGTTGTTATAATGTTATTACTGCACTTCAACAACTAAAGTCTTTACTCTATTACATTAACAATAAAACTGAGAGATAAAACACTGTGTGCGTGTATGATGAGGAAGAAGAAATACTGGCGGGTTACAACATGTGGACATCTGTCATACTCTTGTGTGATGCATATATATATATATATATATATATATATATATATATATATATATATATATATATATATATATATATATATATATATATATATATATATATATATATATATATATATATATATATATATATATATATATATATATATATTTTTT